GGTAATAGCTAATTCAAAACTGCCCAAACAGATTCCTTACAAAACGAACAGTACTCAGATTTGCCTGTACTCAGTTCTATAGAGGTCAGGGCTTGGCACCAGCTGGCACGGGGCAAGCTGGATATCGTTTTTGAGGCAAAAAGCGAAGGGGGTTTCGTTTTTGTAGGCGAAGACACGTCAAAAATTGGCGACTTTTTTTTAGTCAACGTTTCGTTTTGGGGGGGATTTTGGGGAATTTTTCAAGTTTTTAGAGGGGATATCGTTGAGGGTCAAAGGGACTTCGTAAAATTTCGGGAAATTCAAAGGGGACTTCGTTTTGAAAATTTCCTGGTGCCAGCTCGTTCCGAGCCCTGATAGAGGTCATTCAGTAATTCGAATTTTACTGACATGAAAATTAGTATTACATTTCCGTCACTCATAGTTTTTGCATTTGCACTAATTAGTCTAATGTCAGAAACAGAGCAAAAGAAAAACTTTACATTGCTAATACTAGAAAAACTCCTTGGTCCAAGGCCAGAACTGGGCAAGGAACATAACCAAAAGAAAAAATTTTTCCATGGATTTTCTTAGTTCACGGTATCCAATTCCACTACACTATAAACAATCAAAACAACCGAATATGGATTTTTCTACGAGAATTTGGTGTGATAATACTTTAAATATAAAACTTCAAAAGTTTTCAATAGGTTTTGCAAAATGGTAAAGGAAATACGACAATGACCACGCTTGGAACGTTTCATTCTTCAAATTCTTTGAAAAAGCGTATAGACAAGTCACGTCACGCAGTGAAAAGCGTTGCTGCGGACGCTGTCTGCGTCTCTCTGATTAAATGTTCTTTCATTACTCTTACCGTCTGCTACTGCTATCTCATCCATGTGCGGTACCTGTTTGGAAGCAATGGTGTCCGTTTCTGCGTATAAAAAAATTTCCATTTTTCCGTACTCAGCTATATGTTGATTTTTTCAACCCATGCAGCGAAAGGAAAATCCATAAATGATGACATACCGGCGGTTTCAGCCGCTCTTTTTTCACAGATTTTTACTGTATAACGCTTCAAATTCCCTACAAAGATTATTATTTCGCTTTTTATGAAACCGAATTTTTTACCGAAAATCTCAAGGACCTCCAGAAAAAAATCGAGTTATCCCACAACCGATCTATGTTCTTCCATTTTCAGCAACGATACTAAAACGGCAGCCGTGGCCGATGAGGGCCAATTCCCACCGGATGCGTTCTCGTTGGAAACCCGTCAACGCGGTGCAGGTGAGAGCTTGATTGACGGGGGGTGTCTTCGTCAATAAAATTGGGCTACTGAAGGGGAAGTTGGATAAGAATGTTCTTCGGTCTCAGAAATGTTTAAAATGCCCAAGGAATTAAGTTTTATGGCAGACTATTGAGATTTTTAAGTCTTTCTTCCTGATTGCAGCCCAACGACGATTTTTATGAGTGGAGGACGACCATCATAAACATTTACTGCTTTATTACATTGTTCACTTTTTGCCATAACTTTGAAAGACTTCAGAGATGGTCTAGCAGATGGCTAATGGCTTGATGAAGTTGCCCATTGTAAGACGCAATCCAAATGTTTGCAAGAAAAAAGAGCAAACTAGATTTGAAACAAAGGGATTTGCTGGCTAGAAAATGCCTAAAAATCATTTTAAGGAATAATGCGCGAGAAAAGCTAAAACAGGAAAAACATTGTGATAACTATCACAAGATCATTCTTTTTTTGAACTCAGAGCCAATTTTTCATATGTGCGCGGTACATTTTCATCACCAGCTGGTAACTTACCCTTTGATTCAACTGGCTTGGCGGCTGGAAGGCGGGGCTTTCTACCTAATTAAGGCTAGATAATGATCGGAGAAGATGCAGAATGCATCGCGGGCGCGAGAGGCCTTAATTAGGTCACAAAGCTCCGCCTTCCAGCCGCCAAGCTACTTGAATCAAAGGTTATACAGTCAAGGGAATTTTTGTGAAAAACCGCAAGATTTTGAAAAATTATAAGCAGGTACCTTCTTATTCTACATAATTTCGTAAATGCGGACTGTACTGTACTCACAAAAACTTCTTTTGCGAGTGATAACTTCATGGGAAACGCTTTCCTGTTTGTTACAAATTTTTTTTCCAAAGAGATGTGTTTTACCATTCTAGAAAAGCCAATCTCCTTTATGAAATTTCCATGCATAATCTATCAATCTTCTGGAATTCCTTCAGACACTTTCTAGGTTTTCTAAGCTGCTTTGCATTTCCTTTTCCCACGCACCATTACGCTTGAGTGAAACCAATGCTGTAAAGCAATATGCACTTAATTTTAATGCATTTACTGCCATTTCTTAGTAATCTAAGAAATACGTCATGGAAAACGTCATCAAAATCGGATCTACTGGGGAGAAGCCATAGGGCTACCAGCGAGGTAGCCAAAAATAGGGGGCCTTATCACGTCATCTCGTAGATTATGCTACAAATCTTCTTAAAGCATTTGAAAGGTTGGAACTAAGAAAGACCGAAAATTTAGAATTTTATCTAGGCTGCTAGAGGGATTGGGGGGCAGGGCTCGGCACGAGGTGGCTTTTTGAAAATGCAGAAAACAAAGTCCCCTTTGACTTTCGCAAAATTTTGCGAAGTCCCCTTTGACACTAGGCCGTAAACGTAAAAAACCCTCAAAAAAGAAACGTCTACTAAAAAAAACTAACCTGAGCTGTTTTTCAACCACAAAAACGATATCCAGCCTGCTTAGAAGCCACTTGTGTCGAGCCCCAATTTGGGCCAGCGATTTTGAAAAGCATCTTTATTCCAATATTCAAGACCAAACCTAAATTTATCACAATCTCCACGAGAAATTCTTGAAGTGAATTTTTGTCTGTGTAGTGTAAAAAGATCAAATAAGAAGGGTAAGATACCAGTAGAAGTAGCTTTACACAAAAGTTCCATCGTATCATCCTTGTATATCTGTCACTCCTCAATATCGAATTTTTTCGAATTATTTCGAAGAAAATTTTCAAATATAACAAAATCAAAATGAAATCATGGATGTAATGCAATGTGGGTAGGTAGATTGAACCGAAAGTTTGTTCGCACAATTTTCAAAAAATCTTAACTTTTTCGTAACAGAGCGGTTCTGCTCGAGCTAAATTTTATTAGAAAGCGTAAAGCATGGGCTTTCTAATAGCTGTCTGATTGCTTACCGTTAAGTCCAGATTCAGAGGAATAGAAGGAAGAAGAAAATCTTCCAACGTCCGGCAATTTGAGGCTCTTGAAAAATTTCAAAAACCGCGCAGCGAAATCCAATACGGCCATTATTCATGGGCAAAGTGAATTTTCTCCGATTTTTCTCGAAAATCGTACTTTTCAAAGAAAAGCTTGATCAGCACAAATTTTGCTCAGTTAGAGAGAGAAGGTCAGAAAACTAAGGTTAATAGGCTGTGTTGGATTTTTCAGTTTTCGGATGTTCAACCGTGTTTGTCTCAAATCAGTCTACCTAACGATGAGCTGTATTGGAATTTCTTGAGCATTTTTGAAATTTTCAAAGCTTGCTTCAGATCGCCGGACGGGAAAGAATTCCTTCTTCCATTTTTATCTCTGCAATCTAACATAGCGGAAAAGCATTAGGAAACTATTAGAGGGTACATGCTTTACGCTTTCTAACAAAATTTACTTCGAGCAGAATCGTTGTGATACAAAGAGGATAGGATTTTTGAGACTTGTGCAAACGAATTTTTGGTTTACCTTTCGTATAATAAACTAGAGTTCAGGTCTTTCCAAAAAGTTCAAGGTTGCTATCTTTTGTACCTCTTTTCACTCCTATTTTTAAAGCGTTTTGCTCAAACAGACAATAAGGAACTTTAAAGGATGTCATGTACAAGATATAATTCTAAAAAGTTATCAAACTGCCTTTTTTGGATCCTACCCTGTGACCTACTTTTGTCAAAAAAGCTTATCAATTCTAAACGCATGCATAACAAAACTCTCTAAATTCTCGTTTTCCAGAGTTTTCAATTTTTTTGCACAGATTGCGTCAACTAGATTCAAAACTGACTTGGACTTATTTTATAATTGCGAGTAAATGACATGTACAAAGCAAAAAATTCACATAGTTGTTCAAAGAAGAGATTACACCTCGCTTGGGAAAAACATTCATCGAATACCTCTGTGTTGCAATTTTTGCAAAAAGACGATTTTTCGTAAACTGCAGGAAATGTTTAAGGTGTTCAAGTTATTTTTTATGCATCCTTCTCAGCCTTTTGAATTCTCTTCATTGGACACACTTCACTCAGCAAAAGGCAAAGTAAGCCGTTGCGCTCATCTAGAAATCATCTCTTCACATCAAAACGTCATCAATTCACGCCTACAAATCCGGAACTTACCTCTTCCGGATCAAGCTAAAAATTAGTTCACTCAAAGTTCAACATAGGTTTTTGAGACATCAGCGTCACATTGGCTTTGGCTGGGGGCTTCTCTTAGAAGGAAGATTCGTGCTAGTGTTTGGTCACTGACTGAACTTATAGATATTAGGTTGTCCCATAAGTCTTTTCATATTCGGACCTTCAATTCGGTTTTTCTCAAGAACTAGAGCACCTAGAAGGCTGCAAATTTGTGGCAGTAATTCTGAGTTAATACGCTATATAAACATCTATTTGCGGGAAACACAGAACTGATATAGGCAAAGTTTGAAAATTGAGCGCATTATTTTTTTCTCGGTTTCTAGCCGTCAGAAAAATGCAGCAAGGGCATGTATAAATATCCGATGAGGAGAGTATATGCATGAGAAAGCAGGAAATTTGCAGAGTTGTTTTGAACTGAGATATGATGATTTTAGTTTTTTCGAAAAATTGGAAATTTTTCTATTTTGGCTCGGAACTCGTTGCAGATGGAACTTGTTGCGAACTTTTGAACGCCATCTTGTAGAGCTTGCTTTGATCTTTCGAATGGTATCCTGCATTTTATTAGGAGTTCAAGAAAAACTGATTTATGTCGCTGAAAAGTCAGGTATGAAAAGACTTATGGGACAACCTAATACATTGCCAGGAGATATGAGAGGCATTGGCGAACTAATGAATGGAAAAGCAAGGAAATATTATAGAAGTTGTAAGAGGTAAATGACGTAAAAAGGTATCACAAGGAGTACTGAGTGGTAGTATGATTCTTATCACCTAAGGAAATATAAGTAAAACTTGATTGTATTCTAAAATCTCGAAACCATGCCAACTGTTCTAAACCCAATTCAGTCGATATTTGAAAAACCATAATAGGACCAGTCTTATAGTCAAAATAAGAATATGACCAGGGTTATTGTGAAATAAAATGAACATGAAGAAGACCACGGATATTGATGAACAAAATAGACATTAGGCTGACCGCGGATGTCAATGAATAAATGAACTTTCGCCTCTACCTGATTTTCCTTCTTTTTTCAGTCCTACTCCACCTATGTGGTCTGATCTACATGTTTGTTTCGCTGGCAATTGTTTGTGACGAGTTTTTCGTGCCATCGCTAGCTGTTCTAACCGAAAAACTTGCGATCTCGGACGATGTCGCTGGTGCGACATTCATGGCTGCAGGAGGTAAACCATGGAAACATTCACTTGAAGATAATTTTAGACCTAATTTTTAATTCAACTAGAATGGCGGCTGGAAAGCGGGGCTTTGTAACCTAATTAAGGCCGCTCGCGCCCGCAATGCAGTCTGCGTTTCTCTCGCGCTCGTGCTCTTTGATCATTCCCTAGCCTCAACTAGGTCACGAATCCCCGCCTTCCAGCCACCAAACCAGTTGAATGAAAAGGTACATAATTCTACAAAATTATAAAATAGGATAATAAAGTCACCAGTAACGGCCTGAACTTGAGTGTTTAACTTTACTCTGCTCCAGTTGAATACACCAGATCATAAAGATAAAGGTTGAAAATTAACCAAGATCTTTGTTATTTGTTGGACAGTTTTTTTTCTGAAGGAGGTAAATCAGTATTTAAGTATTTGATTCGAAGTGATTTGCAATGATAAAGAATGAAACAGTCATCAATTCAAATTAATTATTTTTCTCTTTTATATATTACTTTTGAATTTTGAATACCCAACCTGACTTAAGAAATAATTTGTTGTTAGAGGTTGTATGACTGCGTTCTCCGTTTTCGGACACTCCATCACACGACACTCAGAGCATTGCACTTTACAGACCCTTAGAAACGGGAAATTTTTTCACCCACAATTTCAGGATCAGCACCCGAATTCTTTACCTCTGTTATTGGAGTGTTTATCGCTGAAAACAATGTTGGTATTGGAACAATCGTAGGTGAGTTTGATTCAGAAAATTCCTAAATTTATAAGTGTGAAAATTGTTCAAAAGGGGAAAATATGTTTGAGAAAATCAAAAGTGAGCAATATTCAACATGAGTTGATTTTGAACAGTTTTTACAGCAAATCTGCATCTGTGGAACATTGACGAATAAATCGCTCTTCTACTGCTCCTTCCTTCAATGGCCCTAGAAACTGGAAAATCCCAAAAAAAAAAACACGATAAAAATGAAAACGGAAAATTCAGCTCTGGGCAACAACACCATCATTTTCTATATCGAGCTCAAAAACCGGTTTGACAGCGAAAAAACAAAAAATTTTAAATCGATATTTTACTTGCAGAATTTTCTTGGAAAATTCAAATTTTACAAGCTTGTGGTTATAAGATTCTCAGAATAAATTCATAAAGCGTGCAGTTACGTAATGGAAATGTCTACATTATTTTTCAAAAAATGTTTTTTTTTATATATCCTGAATTTTAGGCAGTGCCACCTTCAATATTCTTTGTGTGCTCGCATGTTGTACATTATTCTCAACCACAGTGCTACAACTGACTTGGTGGCCATTATTTAGGTATGAAAAAAGAAAAATGTTATTCTATAAATTTTCAATATTTACGAAAATTTACCCATAACATTCCAGAGATGTGTCTATTTATATCCTAGCCTTACTCATGCTTGTCATATTTTTCTTAGACGAAAAGGTAAGTTCATTATATTTAGCTATGTTTTGCATTTCAGAGTTGCCCATGCCAGAACCGTGCTTGTGCCGTGGCGGAAGGTCAATAGTATAGATTAATTAACGCATTTGAGTGTTGTGACACAGCTCTGAAACGGCGCTGGCACGGGATTGGCACAGCGGGGGCACCCAGACTTCTGGACGCTGCTTTACTGCTACAGATCGCAAAGTTCAAATTGATTATACATTTTTTGCACCATTTCAAATGTTGGATAAGATATTTGAAAAACTGAAAGCTTTTTTGCAGATCACTTGGCCAGAGGCACTGTCATTATTTATTGTCTATCTTCTCTATTGTACAATAATGAAATTTAATGTGTTCTTGGAAGAATGGGTCAAAACTAAGCTGCTCGGTGAAAAACTCGAAGATGAACTGCCAGAGCCAATCATACTTGATATGAAGCACGTGAACGGGAATAACAATGTGAGTTGGATTATCAAAACCACTTAAGCTTTGGAACAGAACGTACCCTTCGATTTAACCGGCTTGGCGGCTGGAAGGCGGGGCTTCGTGACCTAGTTAAGGCTGAAGAATCACTAGAGAGCAAGAGCGCGAGAGAAATGCGGCTGCGTCGCGTACGCGAGCGGCCATAATTAGATCACAAAGCCCCGCCTTCCAACCGTCAAGCCAGTTGAATCATGAATTATCTTGTGACTGTACCGACCTTATCAATGACTTTAAAAATCCACAAAATTTTAAAGACAAAAAATACGACAATTGCTCCTTGTTTTTTAATACTTAATACTCCATTATATTCGCCTTTTCGTTTCCAAGTCGCCATGTTCGGCAAGAATTTCCACATATAATCTTTGATGTAACGGCTTGGCGGCTGTAAAGCCGGCTTTGTGCCCTAATTAAGGCCGCTCGCACCCGCGACGCAATCTGGATTCCCTCGCGCGCGTGCTCTCTGATCATTACCTGGCCTTAATTAGGTCAGAAAGCCCCGCCTTTCAGCCGCCAAGCCGATTAAATCATAGATTACTGATCATTCCCCAAGAACTCGTTCCTAAATTTTTTTTTTGAGATTATTCTCAGATCTATATTATGGCAGCTCTATTTTTTGTCTTGTCCATTTTTTGAAAGGTTTTTCGGACAACCAAAACTAGAGAATGCAGAAAAATTCACTTTGGACGTCCAGTTTTTAGTAAAGTCTAGTCAAGATTTTGAAGTTGATAATCTGTAAAACCAATGCTCACTAATAACATCCTTGATTTCTCGCCAAGAATGGTTCTCACATTTTTCCGGATATTTAGAACCAAGTGGAGTACAAAGATCTCGATGACGAAAGGAGAATGTCGCTGTCTCGGAGGTAATCAAATAATTTAACTGAAATCATTTTATTATTTGAAAACCATTGTTTTAGGCATTCATCACTCAGTCGGCGGCAATCCATACCAATCTTACATTCTGGTACGATGTTCCGTACAGGAATCATGCAACTCATGAATCATACACTCGAGGAGCTACCGGAAGGTATGACTAAACTGGAAAATCGATAAAATTGCAATAAAAAACCCATATATGAATAAGACGAAAATAAAAACATGAAAAATGAAATAAATTGGGGGAAGATGGAATAGAACAGTAGAAAATAAACAAATACACCATCTAACCTTTGATTCAACTAGCTTGGCTACTGGAAGGCGGGGCTTTGTGACCTAATTAAGGCCGCTCGCGCCCGCTACCGCAGTCTGCGTTTCTCTCGCGCGCGTGCTCTCTGATCATTACCTAGCCTTAATTAGGTCACGAAGCCCCGCCTTCCAGCCGCTAAGCGAGTTGACAAAGGGTGCATCAATCTCAATCTTACCCGTATGCGTTTCTTTCAGCAAGAAGTGAAGAAGACGAATCATCCAGACGATCACCATCCGTGGCCGAGCTTGCTTCACCGGTAAGGAATGGAAGCTCATTTTGTATAAAATGAAACGGGAATTTTTTTGACCTACTCTATCACTTTATGAAAATTTTTAAAAAATGCTAGGGGTGAAATCAAATAATTGCTAATCGTGAGAACTTCCTAAGTTTTTTTTTCAGCTAATATCGATTGTTGATTTTTTTTAGATTACTGAGTTGATGCATAAGAGAAGTTGGTAATGATTGTCTCTGCGTAGTTAAGAATTTTGATTTTTTGAGTTGACTTATCGATTTTGTTTCATATTGATTTTCTAAAATGTATTAGAAATTACTACTTTTGATATTCACAAAAAAACATGTTTTGTAAACTGAACAGTTTGTTTAAACATTTCAAATCATTTCCTATTTTTGGTTCAAGAATTGTGCGTCAACCTAATACTAGTACTCTAAAACCTTTTTTTCGTGAAAACTTACTCCTATACTAGATATAATTAGAAAATAACACAATTGCAGAAATCGGAACTCACCGCACCAAAGCCCGAAGAACCTCGGCGATCTTCCCAAATTGAAGAGATTGTAAGCAATCTTACCACCTAAAAACCCAAGACAACATCACTCTTTTCTTTGCCAGAAGTCCATACTCGAAGAAGAAGAGGACGAACCCCTAAATATGGAATGGCCTGATCGTTTCATGAAACGAGTCACTTACGTTTGCCTTGCACCTGTGCTAATTCCTATGTGGGTCACGATACCCGATGTACGTCGACCGGTAGGTAATTTTACCAAAAGCAGTAAACCTTCAACTCTCCTAAACCTGTCCTTGTCGATTTTTATTACCATTTCATATACAGCTTATTTTTAAGAAAATACCTGTAACTTTGTGAATCTTCAAAGTTTTCAGGAAAGTCGAGCCTGGTATCCGGTAACGTTTGTGAACTCGATTCTGTGGATTGCATTCTTCTCGTATTTGATGGTGTGGTGGGCAAATACCATTGGAGAAACTCTAGGCATACCTACTGAGGTAAACTTTTCCATTGGGTTTAAGGTCACCCGGAAAATTTGCAAGAACTACCTAATATCTTCAGCTCATTATGAAACTTTTTTTGCTATTGATATTGAGCACTTTAGGTGATCGGACTAACGATACTAGCGGCCGGTACGAGTATTCCAGATCTCATCACTAGGTACTTATTCCCTGTGTATTGGCTCTGAATTTTATATTTCATAAATTTCAGCGTGATCGTGGCACGCAAAGGCCTAGGAGACATGGCTGTATCGAGCTCAGTTGGAAGTAACATATTTGATGTTTGCGTGGGGTAAGCGGTTTGTTCTTGTAAATAAAAATCAAAAGAATGAAATAAAAAAGCTAATGCTCCTCAAACACTATTTCAAACCTAACTTGTAGAAAAATTCCGTGCCCAAAATCTGCCTCTGGTGAAGAAAAAAGTAATTTTATAGAAAAGGACACTTTGTTCTGACCTTTGATACAAATGGTTTGGCGGCTGAAGGCGGGGCTTCGTGACCTAATTAAGGCTAGGTAGTGATAAGAGAGCACGCGCGCGAGAGAGACGCAGACTGCGTCGCGGGAGCGAGTGGCCTTAATGAAGTAACAAAGCCCGCCTTTCAGCCGCCAAGCCAGTTGAATCAAAGGGTACCCACATGCTGAACTTCAGCGTTTCGGTTTGGGATGACGATTTTGTGAATTACTATTCCTAATTTCCCCCTCTCCCTACAAAAAAAGAAACTTGTTGCAGTCTATTTCTCATACCTATGAATTTCCAGGAATTTTAAGCACGTGACATCCCCTGTAGTCTCAATTTTCTAGATCCTTCTAGTTACTGGTAAACTGACGCAAACGTGTAAATGCAGAAACGTTTTTACGGTGACAATCCCTAATATTGCTCACTGCCAGACGCATGATATAATCTGACCCAATCATTTGCAAAAAATGCTAAAAAAAAAAAGAAAAGCAATGAAAAGAAAATACCGCTTCCGAGCTTTTGCTGAAAACTTTTTTTATCGATTTATTACAATGACTTTATTCAGGTTGCCAATCCCATGGTTATTATATTTCATCTATGAGCTCATTCGGAATCCAGGCAATCCGGCTCAGTTCATTTCTGTGAGCAGGTAAGTGTCCATATCCAAGCCCATTCAAAAGACCAGGGAAAACTGAGACGTAGACTTGGACTCCTCGAGTGTATAGTGTTTATTAGATCACAACTTTAAGCTACTGCCCAAGTGACAGCTCAAATAGGTCACTCGGCCGAGTATTCAATTCTGAACCTCCGCCCAGTACCGTAATCAGGGCTCCGGTTGGTAACTTGGGAATGCGGTCTAGGCGAGCGCTTAGTAATTGCCTTTATAGCCACAACTTGATCATATGAGTTGCTGCTTGGGCAATGGCTAGCTAGAAACCTCAATCAGTTTCCACATAAGAAACAAGGGTAATCATTTTCGTGGACATTTCCTTTGCATTCACATCACCAACCATTAACTAAAAAACCTTTTCCGTCCTAAGATGTTTTCTTATTTCAGCAAAGGTCTCTTATGCTCGGTTGGGATGTTGTTCATTATGCTGGTTGTGCTAGTATTTTCAACGTTCATTTCACGATGGCAAATGAACAAAGCGTTTGGTGTGATTATGATCGTCTCCTACATCGGATTCTGCCTCTTTTCCGTTGCCCTCGAAACTGATCGTATCACATGCCCTCTTAACCTCTGTCAGTTTTAAGCCAGGTATTTATTGTTAGAATTATTCATTACTCTTGATAGTGAATGCAAAAGCTTATTTTGTGTAGTTCTTTGCAAAGTAAAAATGAACGGCACTTTTGCATGCTACAGTATGCTACCGTAATCCATAATGCGCACGCGTTTGCCTCAGTACGAATTTTCCCCACAAATAACGTATGTAAGAATCCAACAGACTTTAGCAGCATTCTGATGCCATTATCGTCCTCATAACCTCCCTGAGTTACGGTAGCATAAGGTCCAAAAGTGCAAAAGAGCTCACGCTCCATTCACCCTTTACTCTCTTTTTTTATCACCATTTCTTCGACGTATCGCAATTTTTTCTTCTTATTTTACTCCCATCGACCCGTAGCAGTGAAAAACGGGTCCTCCACTGTTGCCCAGTTCAAAAATAAACATTTATTCTGTATAACTATTATTCAAAAATCATTTCATAACTTGATATGTACATTTTTCGCGTAGTTATATATCACAGTAGCTGTTTATGGATATGCACAAGGCATTGAAATTTTCACCCATGAACGTTTGTTAGAGAATAAATATAAGAAAGATAATGTTATGAGACCACCCAGAAAATTGCAGCTAACAAAAAGTGTAAATGACAAAAAAGTAAACTCTATACTGGGCTGCTAGTTGCCTCCAAACCAGCTCGACGAGATTTTGTCGACGAACGAGCTCAGCGACGGTGTGCTCTTCATTCCTGGAAGAGTAGAATGTGATTATAAGAAGAGATAACACACTTATAGTAAAGTTCCAAGTAGTTCTATTGTTCATACAAACATCTGTTGAAGTAATCATTTTGATATTCAGACCTTTCTCCCCCTCCCCACCCTTTTGCTAGGCTAGGAAACCAAAATACAATCCATTAAATCATTGGTTAAGAGGATTACAGAAAAGCACATAACCTGATAACCTACAGAACAAGGAAGTGTATAAATAAGCAAGACCCCTGAAGACAATGAGTACATAACCTACGAAAATTAAGGTTGAAAACTGCAAAATTATGGAAAGACTTGCTTAGTTTTTTTGGAAGGTTGCTGATTACTGAGAATTATTTCACGATGGAGAGCAAAGGTTACTTTTACCAATTCAAGTGTACAAAAACAAAAAGTCCCCAACTACAACCCAATTTACACAATAAACCAATCAATCAATGTTTCAAATTCACAAGACTTACCAGAAGGATTTGTACTGGCCAAAAGCTTGTTGCGAGGCGCTTTTGCTGCTTCGACTCGTTTTGCGACAGTCTCTCCAGTCTGCAAACATTTGTCAAATTTCTAACGATAAGAATGAAACTTTATTTTTGAAAGAAAATTGGATATGCTTCTTAGAGCAAACTTCAAACATAGACATGCAACCCTACCGTGCGTTCCAAGCGTGGAATGAGCGGAATTCTTGGCGGATAGTCGACTTTTGGTAATACGTCAACGACCTAAAACAATAGTTGAAAAAATTTTTGGTAGACTGACCACATCTTGTTGCGAAAGTAACATTTCATAAACCAACAGTAGTACCATACCTGAGAGTAATGAGGCGATCCTTGTCCTTCTTTGGCAGGTACGGTCTCGAGGAGAAGGCATGAATAAAGCAGCTGAAATGATCAATTCTGGGATCTGCAACTTGATATGCCAGCCGTAAGGTGAAAAAACCATCCATTCGCAAGTTATGAGACTTCGAAATGAAGACAATTTTCAACAATCAAGTGAGAATGACAAATCAATATTGCTTCAGATAGCAAAAAAATTCCAAACTTCAATTTGGATCCAAAATAAACTCGCCTGTGATCTACTAACAGCTAATCGTACATTTGTCGCTAGATGTGGTGCCAGAACACTCAAATCAAACGGGTCAATGTGACTCTCAATCGTAGGAATGAGCTTTTTCAATCTGAAACAGGTTCAAAGGCAAGTATGCTAGAGCGAAAACGTTACAAAGCAAAAGAAACTCACTTTTCATCAGGATACATCGAAATAAGAACTCTGCAGTCAAATAATAACTGGATCCAGGTTCTCTGCACAGATTTTCCGGAGCTAATCGCATCATTTAGAGTCTGGGATAGTAAATCCGCTATCTAAAAAAATCTTCATGAGATCTTATCAAAAAAACAAGTTATACATAATCAAATCTAATAAAACATATAAAGATAATGGCCGACCAAAGGCGGTCAGTCGGTATCAAAGTGAACGCGATCGCTGCTCCACCGCCATTGACGCATCGCCTCAATTACGGCCGCCTACGCGCTGCGTCGCGCCGCTTAGCTTATATAAACCGCACGCGTCTGGCAGTTAACTATACAACAACATTACAATGCCACGGCTTACTAAATAATGCATAATCAGACGAACCGAACATAGCAGCTATGTTGTCATTTTCTACCCAAAGAAGTAATAAAGCATGGCAATAAAACGATGTTTTGAAGTTCTTGTGCGCTGTGTGATTGCACCATATCGCTCGACAACAAAAAAACCGTTACTAACCTCAGACGCGAGTCTTTTTCTTACAGGTCTCGATAGCAGATGTGCGATACAAACTTCACCAAGACGGCACGACAGCGTAAATAACGCAGTCTGTAGCGGTGGTGAAAATACAATCGGCACCTCTACGACGCCAATCTCTTTCAGTTCTAATCTTTCCCATTCCTAAATCCAAACACATACAGGTTTAACTAGAACTAGGAAAAAGCTCACCAGAGCTAGTTGCATTCCTTGAGCTGGTTCGGCGAAAGCTTCCACATAATGTCGAAGGTTTTCTTTTGACAGGCATTGCTTAGCTTCGTCACAGACGAATTTACTTGAAATAAACATGATTATCATGTCGTTTGTGAACGATATAGGATACAGGGTGTGTCAACAAATGAATTATTTACAAAGTCAACAGTGAAAGTAAGATTACAATTACAAAGATGTAGAGGAAATAGAATAAAGAATCAGCACATGTTCAGGTGAAGTGAGACGATACTGAAGTTGAAGGAAAAGGTAGAAATAGACACCTGTTACTTAAGAAATCGTTAGCAAAAGTGGTATATTAGATAATCGTTGATGCAGAATGACACAACTTGCTCTTCGCCTCCAAACTTTGAATTAAGTAGATGTAGAATCCTCATCTCAAGAGAATTTTTCTTCATGTTTAAGATTACAAGTACTGAATTTCGCCTAAAATCACCGTTGTATCATTCATTCTATGACGACGAGACCGCATTGCACACATTGTCTAAACAAGCCTAGGCGTGTACTTAGCAGGTTTGTACTTGTTATTTATTTGGTCCAGGTTTATTCACTCTTTGAAAAGACAGAAGAACAAACTTAAACTTGGTAAGACCGCAATGCGGTTTCGCGTCTCCCTAGTCATAAAAGAGATAATACAATGAGTTTGCAACCAAAGCCATGTTTCTTAGATTGTGCATTGATGTTCACTCCTAAAATTTCTTACACGATTTCCTGGATGCCGAGACTATGAACACAAGTACTAATCAATACAACAACATCCTTTTCGCCGGTATTCCAAACATTTTGTGAAATAATTTAGTGGTTGCCAAAGCGCCCGCTTAGGCTTCAGTCAAATTTTATCCAAAAAGAAGAGCGCGACAAACGCGCAAAAAAAGTGATATCGAACCGCGATTAGAAAGTAACTAATATTTGCTAAAAAGCATAACTCTGAGTAAACAGGACCCTAAATGCTCTCTTGAAGGCGGCGGCTCGGCAGAATTTCGTTCTTCAGTTCTTCACCTTTTCGGAGCTTACTCGCCATGACGAACCCATATCTAGGTTTTTCAGCGCATAAAATGGCAAAAATGCGCTTTTTTCGAAGCTTTTTAGGTCCGAATTCAGTGAAGATACGCCAAGAAAAGCCGCGCCCCGCCTTTTTCGTTAGGCCCCGCCCAGTTCTCTATTAAAGGCTGACCCGGAAAGCTTCGGAAAAAGCGCATTTTTAATTTCATGCGCTGAAAAGCCCAGATATGGGTTCCTCATGGCGAGAAGGCTCCGAAAAGGTGAAGAACTGGAAAACGAAATTCTGCCGTGCCGCTGCCTTTTATTTGCAATAAGAAAACTGTGTGAATCACAAGAATTTAGCAAAAACGAAAGCTGATATCCTTCTATCACGCTTCAGCATGATTTTTCAGAAGATGTTTGGTCCTGCAGAAAATTTTCGAAGAGCATACGTTCACTCTCCGACCGAAGTTCTGTTGTTTCATCGAGACAAATTTGTCACTATCCTAATGTCTAGTTGGGCAAAGTCAAACCTTTACGCACCATAACGCAGTCCCTAACCACAGCGAAGTGATAGTGTTGATGTGCGAAGCGCAGATTTAAACCCTCCAAGTAGTTAACGTTACTGTCAGAATCAGTATATTCTTGTTTTCAGAACGTTAGAATTACCTGCAAGTGACAAGGGAAATTATCATCGAGATAATCATAAATGACATTTTTGAAAATTCGAAGTATTGCAGAGCACAACAAAAAGTTTCTTGGGCGTTTCTGTGCATTACGTCATGAGCAGTTTATGCAGTATCCTTTGTATTTTCTCAAGTGATAAGACCATGTCCACAGTTACATCGTAATATTTCATTCATGGCCATAAATATTGATGACGACTGTTAAATAACTTCAATGGATTCATACGTCACGGTCAAACACAAAACGTCTTGAAGATGTAGATTGAATATATTTGCCAGCAGTGCAATCTGCTGAAGAGAAATTCATATTCATTGTATAATAATCGAAAAAATTAATTCGAATTCAGGCATTCATCACAATTATTATATTTTAGGTGATGTAGAAGTTAAAATATTGAAGAAGTCTTTTACTATTTTATGCATGCGAAGTTAGCTTCTCGGTTTGCCCTTCGGATAAACTTGCCTCTAGAAACTCACAAACAACAGGGAGAGCAACTCTCAAAAATATCAATGGGTCTGTCGCCGCTCTCGATTCAGCCCTTCTTCCCTCATTCGCTGCTGCGGCCCAGATTGTTTCGGCCCTTTTTGGCCCTTCCAGAGCTCACTGCACTGTTCCACGCCTAATATGTACTCAGACATGCGAGGGGTCCCCATCGAACTGCCTGAAAATTCCTATGTCGATGGCGGCAGCGGCAGCGGCACCTGCCGTAAAACCATGCAGATCGAGTCCGCGTCGTGTGTGCAGACACGGATGCGCCAGCCAGTCAGCAGCCAGCCGGCCAGTCAGCCAGCAGCGCACAGTTCGCGCGGCGGCGCGGCGTCGCCACGGCCGCACGGTGGCCGCGCCGCCGCGGCGCATTCCAGTTTCAATGGTCCGATAGCGGCGCTACGATCGATAATCGCAAGGCCCAATGGCCGCCGCGCGCCGCCTCGGCATCGCACACGACGGCGGGCGCCAGTCGGCTGTCACCATAACGACCGTGCTGCTGTCGTCGTCGTCGTCGTCGTTGATCGTCGTCGTCGAACGTCATCGTCTGCTTCTGTACGGCTACTGTATTCGCTTCCGGCACGGTCTCAGCTCTTCAGGGCGTACTTAGGCCCACGTCAAAACAGGTGTGCCGCACTTCTTCTAATCACCCATCGCGCCATTTAGCCATAGACCAGAATTTCTCATTTGGGCGCCCCTCCCCCACTCTTCTACTTCCCATACACCTTTACCATTTCCACCAACCACTACCCCTAATTCGATCAATTCGAGAGCGAGTTCTGGGCCTGTCGTCGGCTGGGTTCCATTGGGGGGCGCCGGTCCATTCCCCCACACCAAAACGATGGATCAATTCACTCAACACATCACACAGGTCCTTCGCCGCTCTCAATCATGACTTTCAATCGGTCGTTTTTTCTTACTCACCAATAAAAAACTCACATTTGCTCCCTACATTACTCAAAGACAATCAAGGCCCGAAGTCCTTCTAGGGCTCTTAAATCTGCATTTCATAGTCGAAACGGGCCACAACGCTGCATTCTTTCTTATCAGTGACTGATCAGGCACGAGACCATGACCTCAAAAACGCTGAATTACCTAGAAAATCACGGTCATAGAGATATACCAGCAGGCTCCAGCTATCTACTAAAGTTTTCAACCATTTAGGAAGTACTTCCCATCCACTTCTTCAGTAATTTTGAAAAAATCTAGTTTTTTGAAAGTGCTTGCCTGGAAGTAGGGAAATTCGTGCTGAAGCGCTTGACAGGTTGATTTTAAGAGGGCTCAAAGGGTAATGAAAGGTGTGGGGGATTCGTACAAAAGACAAATTGGTCCGCCTACCAAAGAATTTTCGTTGATTTTTATCTTAAGGTGGATAGACTATCATTTTCCCGATACAAGACGATCAATTCCCAAACTAAAAAGAAAACGTCGCATATGCGATGTTATGCAAAATAGTTTCTGCTCGTTTTTCCATCGATATAGCAATATTTTGTGAGAAAACGAAGATATACTTGACTAAAGACAAAACAACAAATTTCAAAACGCAATTCAATCTTTAATAATCATCTTTTTCATCTCCAAGAACAGAAATTTCATGCATTTGCAAGGGCGGAAGAGACTTGGAGGGGGAGGGGGACAAAAATTTATGCTGTATCATTACCCAAAACTTCTGAAAATGTGTTAATTTAGGCTTTATGGACATACTTGAATCATTATTCCAAACAAAAAATGCCGACTACAATGCGAAAAAAGATGGAAAAGACGATGAAGAAGTTGCAGATGAGGTAAATACCATTGAAGCAAAATCTATATGGGAAAACTTTGAAACTAGAAAATTTGCAACCAAAAAATTAGTAGCGTTCTATTTTAGGCAGATTCGGGTAGTGACGAAGGCGATCTTGAACTAGAGAAGCCATCACCAAAGAGAGTTAAACGCGAATCTAAGCCATTATTAGCTAATCGAAGGTAAGATTACGGTATGAGCCTTCCTTTAATGACTCTCACAGAATAAGAATTTTTCTCTCTCCAGACCTACAATTCCATGTTCCGCCTCTATTCTAGTCCAGAACTTGCCCCACTGCTAAATAAAACCAATTTCTCGTTCTATTCTAGCTCAGCCCTGAGAAAAAAAGCTAATCTTCTACGAAAAAAAAACTGCGATGACAAGATTTTCCTCCGCCGACGTGCTATATTCTGGCCAATTGCCATCTCATGCTCGAACAGGTTGTCTGTCCAGTCACCAATAATTGTCCTCGAGTCGCAATTGAAGAGGAAAAAGGGGGCTGTCTAAATATTTTCAAGGACCGCCAGGGTTGTACTTTGCAAGCTTTTAGACTAGCAAAGGAACGGGGAAGGGAGAAGGGGGAACGGCTGCAATTATAATGTTCTTTCATCCGGTTTAGCGCAAAGTACACATAAGGCGCTAGTTTGGGAGGGGGGGGGGGGGGAGAGGGAGCAAAAGTCATCCAAAAAAGACAAAAATTACCCAAATCATACGGAAAATTCCCAAAAATTGTGCTATTCCTCTCGCCAAGGCACTCCAGCAATGCAACACTATCTTTTTCTCTCCCTTTTTTTGCATTTATCTCTATTTACTCAGCAAATCTGCTTCACTCAAACAGCCAATCCAGAACCGCTGCCAACAGAAAACAGTTCTGGTAAACCAGTTATGAGCATAGATATTGATTACATGAACTGTTTTTCGCGATCTGCATCAGTACAATAAATGTTATTGGAATTCGAATACAGCAGCGAACAACCACAGCATGACGTCGTCGCGGCACAAAAGTCGCGTTTTAATTCGAGGAATCGATCAATTTTTATTTGCACTATTTCGTTTTCGTTCTCGATGCTCTTAAAAAAAAAGACTTTTTGAACTCCAGACTTTATTAGATAGAAATAGTGAGGTACTTCATCTGAAACGAGTTATCAAAGTTTACCGTTTTTTTGGAAACGCATGGTTTAGGAAGCGGAATCAAGTTTTCAACGACGAAAAATATTCATGGCTCATTTTGCATTTCAGTAATAGTTAAATCATCTTATTATTCTCACTACACCCCCCCCCCAGTATTTTTCTTTTTCCAGTCCACACAATAAAGAAATCTTGTTCGCCAGAGATCTATTCCAAAGATAAAGTAAATCTCAAAATCTTACACCGTATCGCAAGAACAACCCTCTCATGCTTTTCGTCGAAAGTCACAAAAACCCTTTCCGCTGTAATTGAGAAGAAATTTTTGCTAGGGAAAGTGCAAGAGAGCGAGCAAGCTTGTTAGATGCCTTGAAGAAAAAAAGAGATAGGAAAAAAAGAGTTAGAAGTTACTAAATTTGGAGTGGAAGGGAGAAAAATGACGCTGATAAGTTGACACGAGAAAAATTGAGTTCAAAAATACGGTGATTTGTAAGGGGACTTTTGTAGTGATAGGACTCCTTCGCTGAATTTCCTTTGAAATGGATTTTTGCAGATTCAAAATAACTCGGCAATTTTTTTCATATAGAAAAACTGCTTTTTTATTACACAATTCCTTTTCATTTTCTTTATTCTACAAATTTTTGGGAATTTTTTCTTGATCAAAAATCTTAATTATTTTATCTTACTGCTTTTAATGACTAAAATAATGTTCGATCTGTCAATCATTTTATATTCCTTTTCAGAAGTCGCCCAGAACGTGGTAAATTTACGATTCTTGACGGTACATCGGTTGCTGAACCCGATGAGATTCTCGATATTGATTTCGATGCCGACTTGCTCCAAAGAATTTTTCGCGATTCAAGAGTAGGGTGAGTACCCGTTGCGCCTCTGCACTTTTAAACCAAAAATCAAATTTCCATCCAGAATACAATTTTTGGCACGTTATGGAATAATTCCAAATACCAGAGAATGCAAAATCGAAAGTTGTCCAAAGGAACAGCTGATGAGTCTAATAAAACATGCTAATGGCTTTGTGGTGAGTCTTTTGCTCTGCAGGTTTTTTATGGTCCGTTACATATCTCCTCTTTCTCAGTGGCGGTGCCGTTCGTGTAGAAAACGACGAGAACGTCGTGTTATTACAAAAATTTCTGTGTATGAGGGGACATTTCTTTTCTTTTCTCGAATGCCAATGAATAAGGTAGGTTCTTTTCCGCATCACAATTTCATCGTTTTTTATGATTGCTTTAGTTCTTCATCTTCATGCTTGTCTGGTGCGAAAACCCCGGTTATACTGCATCCGAGTATAACCGTTTGCTAGGCGAATTTCGCCTGGTTGAGGAGACTATCCACAACACCATAGGGTTCATAAGGGATCACATCCAAAGCTGGTTAGTTTTTGAGGCCCGTAATATCCTTGATGGCAGTGTCTCGGTACGGTTTTCTATGAAAAGGAAGAAGTGCTTGAGAGCACATCCGCTCAAGCGGCAGTACATATGGTTCATTCGTGACCTAGAATTTTTGCTCCTAACTCTCGCCCAGTACCGTACTCCTTGCGAACGGATCAACCATCGTACTGGGCAGACAGTACTGGGCGAGAGTTTGAAGCTGAATTTTTCATGCATACATAAGTCATCGCACTGCCGCTTGAACACAAGCTTTTTTGAGGCCCTCCAATCAGTATTCCATATAATGTTTAGCCATCTAGATTTGTCCAAGCTACTTCTTTTCCACCAACAGAACTAAAGACTTCATTTACAGGTGCCTCCTACAAGCTTCCAGCAACCCAATAGGCGGAAAAGGCACAACAGTCGAGCTGCTCGAAACGCTTCATACAGAAGATGTTTCCGCAAAACACCGAAGTCGCCGAGAGCGTCGTTTCACTATGAGACTGGTGCTCATCTGCTGGAATACCGATGAACTCGTGACAGTTGAACTACCTGACCGACAGGTTAGCGCCACCCAGTACCGTAACCTAAAATCCGCAGTAAAATGGCTCCACTTTTAGTTCCTGCCAACCACCCTTGTGAAAGCTGTCGAGAACCATGTCAAACCAGGCACTACAGTTGTAATGCGTGATTTGCTAATGAAGAAGTTCGGCGAAAAGGAGGACGTGAGTGGTTTATGCGGGCAAGCTGTGACATAGAAAAATGAGTGTTCCAGCTTGAAACCATGCTCGAAGATTACACATTGAAGACTATAGCTGATGTCTGGTGTGACATGGATGAAGAAGAACGAGACAAGTGAGTGTAGCAAAGAAAGAATAGCTATGATTAATTGTACGTACAGCAGCAGTAGAAGAAGAAGGAAAGAAAAAAGAGTATTGATTCTTTCAATCTGTAAAACTTTATGCTATTTGAACCCAATATTCCGATCTGACAGTTTATCCAAGGGCTCCAGGAAAAATTATGGTACTCATGAAGAATCGTAGTCCTGCTGATCTTCTACAATAACCCCTCCCCCTCATCCTCTACCACCCATCTTTCCTTCTTCCCCTCCTTCTTCCTTCCAGTCTCTACCCTTCCTAATATCCAGTATAGTTTAGTAAATAAGTAGGAATATCCTTTGTAATCTCCACTTTCCAGACAATACATGAAAACGCTCATGGAATCTGTGCAACCTCTTCCTGCCGAACCATTCGCCTACGAATACTATTTTCGCCGAAGATTCATGGACAAACCATTCAATAATCTTCTCAAAGCAATTCGAGAGCTGTATAGCTCACACCACACTACAAATTCCGAAGCATCCACGTTATAGTAAGATATTCCCTATTCTTTGTCTGCATACGCTATGCACAGGGCCGGTTCAACCAGTTCGTAATCAAACTAGAGTGCAGCCAGCTCGCTGCAAAACGTTTTCATTTACTTCCGTTAATTTCGCCTTGCAGAGTTTTCACATTTATCCTATTTAAACCTCTTTGGCAGGTATAATTTGTGATTCTGTTCCATTGTGATCAAATTGTTGCCTTCTTCAGTCGTGTTCATGCGATGTTTAGAAGACGGGTGTTGTATAGATTTCGAAGACAAGATATATCAAAAAGTTTCTCTCAGAGTAACAAATCCCACAGGTTTTCTCCCTAGATTCTGTTCCAATAAAGAGTTGTGGTTACTTTTGTGCAAATACAGCGTATGGTCTCTTACGGTGGCACAACGACAAGTCAATCTTCCGAATTACTCGGATTTTTTCTGGCTTACGTTTATAACTTCTACGGGTTTTAGAACCTATGAAGCAACTATTACGTAAAAGTATCAAAGACTGCCAGCTAAGAGCAGTTGGTGTGACATCAGATATGATGTAGAGATAAGGGACCCGTCATACTTCGCCGAAAAAAGCCCAAAGAAGCCCGAAAAAGCCCAAAAAAGCCCAAAAAGCCCAAAAGCGCCAGAAAGAGTCGGAACACTTCTCGCAAGTTTTGGCGCTAAGGCATGTGTGTTGACTTCGCGATCGAGCCTTTTGTCATTTTCTGTCGTCCGCATGATAAGATAATGTCAGAATTCTATCAAAAGTTCGTTTCTACATTCCGGCTCTTTCTGGCGCTTTCGGGCTTTTTTGAGCTTTTTTGGGCTTTTTCGGGCCTCTTTGGGCTTTTTTGGGCTTTTTCGGGCTTTTTTGGGCTTTTTCGGGCTTTTTGGGCTTTTTTCGGCGAAGTATGACGGGTCCCTTCATGAGGACGGAATAAGAATGGATTATATCACAGAGCTAGTGTGAAGGTTATAAGGTCCTCAAAGTCAAAAGTAAGTTTTCAGTTCTGAGACATTTTTCAGCCTTTGTTACATTCTTTTTGTAATGGGTTGATTCAAAATGAACGCGGATTTCTTTGCAATGCATCCATATATAAAGGACCAAAGTTGACAGACAGCGACTATACGCTGAGAAAGGGATTTGCTTCTAAATCGCAGGCAATTGACAAAAAAACTTTCAAGGGAAATGGAGAGTCGATTCTCAAAAGGTATCGGATAGTTGACAAGGACTGATGAGATCATGATATTCAGTGAATAGAATACCATAAAAAGGCAGGTTATAAAAAGCTAGATGTGAGGGCATTTAAATCCTCACACAAGTAAAAAAAAACGAAGCAAACGAACCTCAACGAATCCTCAGCGGCTGTTTTCAGTAGGCGACTAGCTTTGGAAATTCTCTCTCCATCTCTATTCATCGCTTGACAGAATGAAGTTGAATCACAGTGAAGCAGAGCTAGACATAGGCGAGCCCTCGACAGCTCTCCTGTGGAACTGCCATCATCATCGCGTGGACGCAGATTTGATAACCTAACAACAAAATAACTCGAAACTGCTACCTACATTAATGCAATGCGCTACCTTTCAACAACGTCAAAAAGCTCGGTGGCCAAAGCTTCTCGTATTCGTTCTGGTTGAGAATCCATTTCTACCTGTTCATACTTGGCGCAACAATCGCGCGCATTTTGTACACCGACATAGAAAGAAGAGATGCATCTAAATCAGTACCTAAGCTACTTGATCACTCAGATAACGACTTACTTTTCCAAAGCAGGAGATATTCCTACTCCAATAAGGTTGTCAAATTTATTCGATGTTTTCTCGAACAAAGGTGGAGGCGCTAGATTTATGGTCTTCAGCTGGGAAGTTAATTTTTCCTCCAAGTCACGCAAATCACGAGCGATAATGCTCTGAAAACGAACATAAGCGCTGACGCAACAGTATAACAAACTAAAGATTACCGTGAACTTCTTAAAGAGTATATCGCCAAACAGATTCTGATATACGTTTGAATAAGAGCTGATACGAGGCCAATCCTGAATCAAAAGTTGACCTCGAAATATATCTTGTTGTCCACATAAATCAAGAAAAAGGTGCAACGCAAATCAAATGACCGATTATCAGAAGGAAATTTTGAAAGCAAACTTACAGCACGCAGAACACCGCTGAGAGCCTGTAGAAACTCTATTATGTCTCCAGCCTTTTCATAGAATTCGCAAATTGACGTCACAGGTTCACGGGCAAAATCGCAGACACTGCAATGCATAGACTTCAATAAACATATATGGAAACCGAGCACCTGATGGATGGATGGATAAAATTCACATTTGACTGGCTTGTCAAAGTAGACCCTAGTGAAACCAAGATTTACTTTGACAAGCCGATCAAAGGTGAATTGTGAAACTATTACGACGCGAAATTCTTCATGCGCCGAAGCGTCTTGAAGAATCATGAAGAAGTCTTGAAGTCAATCTTGAAGAAACGGATTGACTAAATTTAGCAACTTCTAATTTACCGACTGATCCATTCGGCGCACTTTGAGCTGATTTTCTGAGGTAACAGTGGGCTCGTTTTCGATTCTCTAAGCTGTCTTGTGACCTTTTCCGCTTCAGCCGTAAGCATACGACCAAATGAAAACGCTTCGTCACCAATCAGAGAGTCGATAAGGGCTAAATTTGATGATACGTACCTCGAACAAGACTATAGAACTGTTTCCACTGACCTGGTCGGTATGTAGGACTTGCTGCAGCTTGAATAATTCGGAATAGTTCACCCTGCGAGAACAGTTGCTCAATTACGACCAAAGATTTCTTCAACTCATTCACTACGGTAAGCAAAGAGCTAGACTCGGAGGTCAGATTTTGGATAAAATTCTAAAATGGTGGAATTTTGAAATTGAAAACGGCTTTTATCAAGAAAAAACTCAATTCACCTTTCTTCCCTTGAAATAAATATCAAGAAGCTTCTCATAATCTATGCCTTGAAGTAGAGCTAGAGCTGTCAACTGGTTAGCAACCCAATCCGTATCTGACAACTCGCCGATCTCTTCCTCCAAATCAGCAAGAAGCTGACGACGAGTACGAATCAACCTCCCAGTAAGACCGGTAACAACTGAATGCATCTGAAAGGCAAACCGATGGAATTGTCAATAAGGCTAAGAAGCTCCGCAATAAGCAGAACGTCTTATACAAAAATCCTATTTGGCCGAAAACAAAAACGAGGCGATACAAAACTGAACAACGTCTATACCTACCGATGGAGGCAACGGCTCCGTAGCAAGCTCCTTGTGAAGGAGTTCAGCCAATGTAAGAGCAAATGCATCACTTAGTGCATCTCCATCAGAGTCACCGATTACAGCAACAAGTTTGTGCAATGCAATGAAACGCTGCACAGAAGCTTGCTGCTCACGGGTGAGAGGTCTGAATATGCGAAGAATCGGTATAGTCTATTTATTTTTGAGACTGCAAAAACACAGACCTTGGCTCAACAACAGATTGCGTTGCTCTAGCGTTGGAAACAGCTTCAGCAAGAGTTTCGGCAAGCTTCCTAATGTTTCGCACCTGTTTGGAAAGAAAAACGAAAAAGTTCTTGATAAGAACTTCACAATAAGGAAATGAGGTTGAAGGTATGTAGCTAACCTCGCTAGATGCTTCCAAAACATCGCGATAGCGGCGTCCTACCATTTCACGTAATTCTTCTTTCTTTCCTTCCATTTCGTTCCTTCAGAATAAACTTGAGAAAAAGGAGCAGAATTTCACCAACCAATTTCTCAAAGCAGAAGTGCGACATAGACAAGTTCAATTTCATACTAACTTCTACTTTTTTCACCTTAAGTGCGTAGAAAACAGACATATCTTGCAGTACTGCTCTCAAAAAGATTTGCTATCAAACAGCGCTGCTTACCAGAACCAGCAATTTGCAAAATAAAGCACTAACTGTAGATTCCCCTGTATATGGTGCAGTTGCTCGACCGTAAGATCTTTCATGAGCCTTTCGACGTCCATGGCTGCAGTCACTGTGCGGAGAGTCTAGATGAATGCTGCAGTTTGCCTTAGAAGGCAATCCCTAGAAACTTCTGCATATTTCTTCAGCCTAATCCATATATAAAATGTCAAATCATATGATTTCCAGCCTGTATCTGATATTTAGCGGTTTATTCTCACCAATGTTGAACACAAAACGACATATCATAATATTTATTAAGCACATGCATCGCAAGCAATACGTAAAAACAAAAGTTTTCAAGCGCACTGTAAACCAGAAACTAATGTGGTAACCGTAGTGCACAAAAATATGTGGTGATTTCTATAGTGAAGCAGTATACATATCACTCGCTCAGATTCAAGAAATAAAAACAATTGCATACAGTCTCTTTCACGCGAAGATAGAATCAAGTGATAATCAACGAAGCAAAACGGCGAAGAGATCCATACCGCCACATCATTCTCCAAAGCAGAGAGTCAGTAACTGGGTGCAGTTTTCGTTATCACTTTGCTGTAAAGATGATAGGCTTCTAATGGCCCACTTCGCCTTTCTTACCAGCCACCTAAAAACGATACGTACTGGCTTAAAACATTTGGTAATGTAAAACAAAACCAATCTTCCCGCTATAATGAAGTTTAGCTTACCCGCTTAAATTCATTCATGTTCACTCCGCTCAGCGGTGTTCCATAAATTCTCAGCTTCTCAATTTCAGTCACCTGCAACAACCATGTATGAGATACGATCTTCAAGAACAGAAAGTACTAATTGCATACATCGCCTCCACCCTGGTTGTTCTCCACGAAGAGTTGAAGATTGTTGACGTTTTGGAACTTCACATACTTCAGCTGCTGCAACTCTGGTTCTGGAAATGTTATATTAAGCAACTTATTTCCGACTGCTTCAGCCCAAGCGCTGATAATAGCGAAAAAATAGCGAGAAAGGCAATCAAAGTGCCATAAAAAAAGATATTATTTGCATCCTCCAGAATTGTTCCCATATAAACCAACGTGGCTGCCTTTCGATCGTCTTGACACGTTAGCTCCAGCAAATTTAAGGCGCTTATTCGAAGTCGACATTTTAAAATGTTCGAAAGACAGCCACCCTGATGTTTTTTATGGAAACAACTCTAGGGAACCAGCCACCCTAATGTTTTTTATGGAAACAACTCTAGGGAATGCACCATATCTAGATGATTATACCAAATTTGACCATACAGGCTGATTCAGTAACCTACCTCATTTTCATCAAATGAACACGTATATGAAAATTATTTAATCAAAAATGAAAGCAAAGATAAATCGAGTAAGAAACACTTACCAGTGCCGGCTTTCTCACTGAACTCCAGCACTTGGACTGCTTCGACGGAAGTTGCTCCATCAAAGTCTAATGTATTCGGAAGATTGGAGAACACTCGCACCATCTTAGGCGTTTTTTCATCGGTACCCTAAAACATCTTGAGATATCAACCACACTAGTGACTTCGCCGAATACTACCTTCATCATTATAGAATGTACTTTGACAGGCTGTGTGAATGGAAGAGAAATGATCAGTTGCTCATCACAATCCGATCTAAGCACATTCTCTCCTGAACGAAAACGTCGGAGATTCATGGATGGGAAGCGGAAAAAATTAAAGCTTACCCTCAAGTAACCCACGTAACGGGGTCGAATCGTCTCCATTCAGGCATTCCATTTGCCTTTTGTCTATCAAGCACGTGATATCAGATTGCCCAGGAACATCTCCTGCGGGTTGCGTATCAGCCCATTTTTGTACCATGGCCTCAAGGCCACTATTATTGGCTCCACGAAGAGAATCCACCTTCGTACTGCAAGACAGTTTTCAAAAAAGAAGAGAAAATCATGGAAGACGCAAATTTTGGAAAAGCGAACCCATTTACGAAGACGATAAAGGTTGGCATAGCAGAAACACCATTTTGAGCTGCTGTTTCTGGAAAGGCGACATAAAATAGTAATCTATAAAAGAAATTGAGGACAAACGAGCCTTCGCACTTGTCTACATCAACTTTCAGAAAGACCATCGACATGTACTTGTTTGAAAGGCTTTCAAAGAAAGGCGCAATCATCTTGCAAGGGCCGCACCTTGAATACAATAAAGATAAGAAACGGAACAGCTCCAAAAAAGAAACAATTCTTACCATTCTGCAGAAAAGTCCACAACTACAGGCTTAGCTCCTACTTCAGCCATAGCATGTTGAAAATCTGAATCGTCTTCACAAACCCTAACAGGCATGTTTTCTGGAAATAAGATTTGGAAGATAGTTGATTTCTCATTTTGAACGTCTTGACGATATTCTACGAAAAGATGATCATAGCAGCAATTTTTTACCCAAATAAACTATCAATGATCATATTTATATTGAAAATCGAAGTATAAAGTTTATCGGAGCTTGTGAAGAAAAAGATACCAAGGGTTGCCACAGTTAATAAAAGCTCCAGATCCACATCGTTGCATGACAATTACCAAAGGCGGTAAGCCCTGGATAGTGTACCTGCACACAGCACGCTTCAAAAACGACAATAGCTGAATTTGCTTCAAAATAGAATAACAATGCGTATTTCTACGCTAGCAGAGGAGATGGCTTTCTTTCCGACAATAGCGGAAGAATACAGCTTCGGCGCAAAGGAGAAATGTCTAAATCGATTCAGCGATATTTCCTTGATTCTTCGCCAAGTCCACGTGTTGCCAACACATAGTGACGTGTTGTTCTCAACAACATTTTTTTGTAAAGGGCATTTTGAAAATCCGAGTAAACAAGTTATTTACGTTTAACCGACAATTTCAATTTCAAGATCCAAGTTTGATGTTTCACTTGTTTCTGAAAGAAAAAAGTTCCAGAAAAATTTGTTGCGCGATGGTTCTTTCAAGTCCCCTCATCTGGTGAGAAATTGTCGAAACCCTGCATTATTAGAACAAAATCCAACTTACAAAGCAAAAGGAGGTGAGTATTCTCGTCGAAATGGTCTAAACAATATACAATCAATTTTCATACTTCTGCTCATTCAGTTCCATAAAAGACCCAACTATGCAGCGGATTCCTTTTTCTTAGTCTTGTGATTGACGTTTTTTGTGGAATGATTGTTCAGTAAACTTGCCCCAAACTAAAAAGGTAACATAAGACTTTGCAAAGGAGAAGGGTGCGACCGCATGGTATAAAATAGAATTCACACATTTTCAAGTAGATTTTTATTCCTGAATCAATGGCAAAGATATCAAGTGATGGTCAATTAATCATAATTTTAATTTTATGCACAAATTGTTAATTTAACATTGACACAACATGTAATAATAACCGTTAAAGGAGCAAAAAGCGAAAAATCACCACTGAACGTCAATACGTCTTATGTTTGAAGTTATTAATTATCCATTTGAAGCTAGATGAACTGCTCTGCCCAGGCGTTTAGACAGTTGTACGCACTCTTTGCATGGTGAGCTGACACTCCAGCAGTATCCTTCAACCACTCCACGAATAGATCCTCGTCTTTCTTGAGCAGCAAAAATTGTCCGAATAGAATATAGGCCTTGTCAAATCCAATTTCAGTCAACTTTGCTCCGTATGTAGGACCGATACCAGCGATTGCAGTGACTTCTTTATCTCCCATCGGCTCACCAATGAACTCACGATGTTTAACTGACGTTGACATGTCTGAAATTAATTGATCTTTCTCAACGTATCATTTATTTTCTGACTGGAGACGCGAGCACGCTTTGCGTCAATTTGCTTAACATGTTCGTGAGTGGATTTCAACGCGTTTTGGTTTAATATTAGTTCTTGAAAAACATGTTCAATCTTGCCAAAAACGCGGGTATGAAACATGTTTTGTCACGAATTTTCAAGAATAATTTACAAAAACGCGTCAAAACGCCCTCGTAAACTTGTTAGTCAGACGTATACAAAGCGTGCTCGTGTCTCTTGGTCAAAGAATGAATGATAAATTAGCATGATATTTGAGAACGAAAATCGCAAAGAAAAGGAAAATGACACTAAGAGAATTCAGGATAATAGCTGATAGGAGCGTATGAAACATTGATGATGTCAACGCTGACTTTAACGCTAAACAAACAAAATCCAAGCGGTGACGATGTGTGATGTACAGGAAAAACTTCCTGCATTTAAACATATCAACTCTAGCAAATAAATTAAGATTGGCGACAAAAAAGACAATGACAAAACTATCATGTAATTTTGTTATAACTATATGAGGTACAGGTGCTGTCAAATCCTATGAGTCATCGCGGAACTGCACAATTTTCGAAACTCTCAAAAAGCTCAGCGATTTCGACATCATATCACTGAAAACGTTTTTCTCCAGTTTTTGTTTTGTTATTCGTTATATACGCACGGCCCAACGAGCCTTGATTGAACGATTCTCTAACGTTTGTACTCAAAAGTCCTAGGATAATCAATGGATGTAGGTACTACACCCGTCACTTTTGTCGAAAATGATGACGTTGAAATAATTTGCTAATAATAATACTTTGCTGCAATTTTGTTACTAGTGTGCAATAGGCGCCATCTCAGAAGCACTATTTTTCTTCCTGTATCAAATATTGCAATTACAGATGAGATGCAGTCCAAGTCCAAAAAAAACCGAGCAAACTGTGAATGTGGGATAATTACAGCGCCCATTTCCAAAAACTGCATATTTGAAGAAAAATTTGGCAAAATGTGCAAAGTAAATTGGTCTTTCCAGTCGTTCAAGCCTTCCGAAACAACCAGTAACAAAGCTTTCAAATTCTTTTTGTATCACATAGTAACGAGAAAATCACTAGCCTTTTTTGGCCAAGCTTCAACGAAAAAAAGTGTAGGGAAAAAGTCTTCACAAGATCTAACACAAATGATATCTAAGGATTGTGCGAAAATTCCGACTGATAAGAAGAATTAACGACGACACTCGCGGATGACGCTATTGATAAAACAAAAACGTTTGAATTTGAATCAACTAATTGCTCACGCCATGCTGTGCATTTACACAACACCGCCGCCGAGAATTCTACGGCATCATATTCTGAATCAGCTCACTCGACCTTCTTGACATTTTCCTTGCTTTTAGAAATGAACAGGCTGGGGCACTAAGTAATTTTCCTTTTGAAATAAGTATAATTTATTTTGAGACCTCAAAACTGCTTCACATACCTTGTCATATAAGCTTGATCGTGTGGCTAACAAGTTTATACTTCATTTGATCTACGAATATTTGGAAGCAGAAAATAACAGGTCTAAATATATCATCTATTCTACGACTAGGAGAGCGTGACCGCATTGCGTATATTGTCTTAAAGGCACCGTCCACCCAAAATGGAGGTTGACGAGATTAGGAGGACACACTAGTGTGGGCCCCCTACTAAGCAAACCCCCAAGCTTCGCCGCAGAAGACTGCTTCTGGAGCGAGAAATCCGCTCCGGAAGTAGCAAAGTAGGCGGGGCGACCATGGTCGCCCCACCCGATTGCATGCTTTATCTCGTCTCCGCTTATTGCAGAGGGTTCTCGAAACAGGGATTTTTAAGGGTTTCGTGGATTTTCGACTCCACATTCGGAATCAGGGCTTTCAGGCCTGAAGGCGACAAAACCTTGAATTCGAGATTTTGAGTAGATGGTGCCTTTAACATGTTTGAGTTTGTTCTTCCCTGTTTCCAGAAGAGTGAATAAACCTGGACGAAATAAATGACAAGTATAAACCGCTGAGTATGCGATTAAGCTTGTTTAGACAATATGCACAATGTGGTCTCGCGTCTCTCAGTCATAGAATAAATGATATTTAGACTGTGTGCAAGCGGTTTCGAGTTTCTACTCTCAAAATGAATGGTACGGCAATGTAGATAAATCGAACAAAAATGTTGAAACATTAAAATTCGTAAAGTCTGACCCACATATGTTTACTTCAGCTTCAAAGTAAACAGTGAAATTATACATTCAAAAATGAGACAGTGACACCAATATAGAAAAAGATTTATAGAACATTGCATAATAATGAGCTTAACCATCACATAGGCAATCGACGAACGACCAGATAATGCTGAGAAGACCATGAGTTCGCCTCAAAGTGTGGATGGAGAGCAAAAAAAAAAATAAACCACAAGTCAACTGAACCAAAGAGACATATAGCCCAACAAAGAAATAAACTCTCGAGCGATGGCGAACAGTAATTCTTACAAAAGAACGAACACTGCAATAGATGGAAGTCGATGTTGTAAGCCAAATAGAAGAGACGAAATAAATCACAGTTAAAAATTGTGGACGTTTCCGTTGTAGAGCTTAAGTTCGCCGCATAAGCTCATAACTTCTGTACAAAAGCGCACTATATGGTATAACAGCTGCCCCAATAACGCGATATGGCTAAAGCTTGCCGAAAAAGGCAACTGACTCAACTAGGAGTACATGACTTCATATATATGGAAGGATTTGATCATCATGAATGAAGTTTATTGTGAAAACAAAATAAATAATTAACGAATCGACTACGTCTCCTTTCATGCTACTCACCATACCGTCTAAGCTAATACACATGAAGCGGTAAGCAGTGAGAAGCCAAGCAAAAGTTAGTAGAAGAAGTATGTGGTACCTTCATAAGTAGAAAACATGTGTTTTAGATACAAAACCGAGAGGATCAACCCTTATTATAGAGCAGTGTCGACCGAGGTCTTCAGTGATGAACATCTTCACCGCTTTTCCAGTTGAGCAACACGTGCCTCTAAGGCTGAGAGGCGACTGAGCAGTTCGTTATACTCCTTGCGAGACACCCATTCCGAGTCCACAGATGATGATAGTGATGTCGTCATTGGTGAGTGTGCAGTCACCGACGTTGATGACTTCGTTCCTAAAAAAAAGGATAGAATCTCTCACTGAACCTTTTGAATTACATTAATTAGGCACAAGCAAACATATAGGGTGTCCCAAAATAATGTGTACACTGTTTGATTTTAAATAACTCTTTTGTATCGATGTTTCTTGCGGCTCCCAAGGTACCATATGAAAGGGCTAGAATTAACTTAGATTTGCAGTATATGGCGAATCAGCGATCTCTACTCATTACTGTAGGATTACGGTAGAAACTTGAAAGAGGGTTTTGGGCCATGAAAGGCCATATTTTGCCTCAGAAAGGAATGAAGAAGCTTGAAAACTTTTACACTGGGCCAATCAGAGTTGCTGATTCTAACTGTAAAGTTCCCAACTTATTATGATGCTTCACTGAAGGGTTATGCGAAGTAAGCAGTAGCGGTCGTTTTCTCAATGTTCCTAAAAAGTGCAGTTACACCATTTAGAAAGCTTCGCAATCTTGAGAATAGTTGAGTATTGAACTCAGCATCCCTAAAAACCCTATTACACAAGTTTTCACATTTTTTTGAAAATTTTTGAAACGGCTGCTTTTTCCACAGTGAGATCATACGTCCCAAGTTTCTACCGTAATCCTACAGTAATGAAGAGAGTTCGGTGACTCGATCTATACTGTACATCTAAGGTTGAAGCCAGTTCTACAAAATGGCGCTTACCGCTTCTCGAAAGACCTCATAATAAAAGAGTTATTAACAATCAAACAGTGTGCACATTATTTTGGGACACCCTGTATATCAAGAAGTAACGTTGATTTTTTGGCTTTTATTGGTTTCGAAAAAGTTGAGAAAGCTATAACTTCCACACAATGCAGATCGTGATTATCCTCTCGATTCTAGATTCGGAATTGCTGAGTCAAGTAAACTATGTGGGATGCTGGTAATCGACTAGGATGACTATAAATTATGCGATTTGTATGCGATTCCTAAACCAAAAAAAGGTTAAATTTTTAAAGCAAAATTTTGTTACTCTTTCTCCACTAAATCTAGGTATAGGGTGTCCCACAAGTATGTGTATGTAGTGTCAAACCGTTAACAACTCTCTTCGTACATTGTCTTTTGCCAACGTTTACGCATATTGTAGAGCTTCAACTCAGAGTTACAGTTGGTGCATCACCGATCGCTTTTCATGGGTTAACTGTGGTAATTTGCGGCATATGGCACCGTCATCCATTCCAATTTTTCTTTCAAACATGAAATTTGTGTAGCATGGTTCTCGCGACGCTGATTTTAATCGTTAAATTTTTGAGGATTTTCCAGGTTTACAAATGGTGCAAACACACTTTGCGTAGTAGCGAAAAAACAGCTCTTATGGCTACTTGGCATAACTTATGAACAAAGCAGTGCTGTAAAGTGCAAATTATATTACCAGCGATTTTGGGTCCACTGTAAAAATTGTTGGTTTCTTTGTTTTCCTTTCTAAGGCAAAAGATGGTTGTTAAAATTTCAAATCCTTTTCTGAAATTTTCACCGTAATCTGCAGCAATGAAGAGGGATCGCGGACATTTTCTGCTGACCTAAGTTGAAGCCAGCTCCACAGAATGGCATGTCAGGATATGAGTTTACAAATTTGGCTACGTTTGAAAGTATTTGGGGCCAGAAGTATTTAGCTTCAATAGCCTTGCGCGTTTTCCTAGCACCTAAATGAAAGCCTAAGGGGGTTGTTGTGAAAAATTTGTATGATTTTGATTTGCATTTTACTATCAGGAATTACTAACAGAGGGCCTTTCTTTGATTTAAAGAGAGACAATTATGATAAAGTGCGTAATTGTCTAGGGTGTCAGAAAATTCCTGTAAAAGAGTTTCGTCGAACTCTTGTTCTCCGCGCAAAAACTTTATCACAACGTTCCATTTTCATTGAGTTTGTGAACGTCGAGTTGCATCTAAAGTTGGCAGAGAGTTGACCTGTATCGCATTTGTGCAAACGGTGGGGTATCTGCTGAGAAAATCTCACAATTGGTTGTGTTTCCCTGCACGATACTCAATTTAATGTTGTAAGCCTGAATGCTAATTTGGTATTTAGCTAGCCTACCGACCAGATCAGATCGATGCATCAACGATTTGAGAGGAGCACGATCTGTTACCGAAGTTATAGAAGCGTTTGCAACGTACGGATAAAAATGTAGTAACGCAAATACGATTGCTAAAGCTTCCAGCTCTATAATTGCGTAGTTTTTCTCATGTTTAGTGAGGGGACGGCTACAGTAAGCGATTGGGTGCTCTAGGCTATTTTCCAAATCCTTCTGCAGTAAGCATGCCCCTACGCCAATTGTAGAAGCATCGGTATGAATAATATATGGTTGTCCTAACGTCGATCGGACGAGGATTGGTGCCTTTACCAGAGCACGTTTGAGGGTTTCGAACGCTTGCTGATGTTCCTCAGTCCATTTGAATGAAACATCTTTTTGCAAGAGTTCGTTGAGGGGAGTAGCAATAAAGGAAAATCGTGGGATGAATCGTTGAAAATATGAGGCTGCTCGAAGAAATGATTTTACGGCCTTAGCGTCGCTTGGCTGCGATATGTTTATGATACTAGCGACTTTGTCTGGGTTTAATCTAGTGCCTTTTCACTTATCAAAACTCCAAGATACTGAAGTTCTGCTTTGAAGAATGAGCATTTTCGGGTGTAAGTTTATTCCAAAATTACGGATTCGTATGAAGACTTCTTTCAAATTTTGAAGGTGTTCTTTAACGTCTGGCTTGCAATGATTATGTCATCTGTGTAGGCGAAACAGCAAACACGTAATTCGCGCATTAACGAATTGGCTACTCGTTAAAATGTATCAGGTGCACCTTTTAGGCCTTGTGCCATTACGGTAAACTGGAATAGTCCAAGAAACGATGTAAATGCAGTACGTTCTCTATGTTTAGGTTCAGGGGAGTTTGGAAAAGTCCGCTCTTAAAATAAAGAACGCTGTAGAAAACAAGTTTGATCTTTCTTTAACAGTGCGTAAAATTGTAAGATTTCTTGCTGTGAAAGATCAAACTTAATACGATCTTGTATGGGAATTACGTTATTAGCTGGAAAATGTGGCATCTGTTAGCTTATATCTGCTTCCGGTGGTACATATTGTTCTAATTCTTGTAAAGATGGCCGAATGTCATTAGGTTCCTCTTCAAGAATTACTGAAAATATTGGAGGCCATTTCAAAATTTAATGTCATTATCTGAACCATGCACTGTTGGCGAAAGCGGATAAAGAGGTTTTCCTTGGAATTTCTTAGTGTGAGCTATAGTGTGACATATGGAAGATTGTTACCATTGTCTATTGTTGACATGAATTCTCCATCGCTGTTGACCGAAAAAGTCATATGTAAATATGATAAAACGTAGATTTTTTCTTGTTTGATTGAAGCAATGGTAAGCATTGGTTAGGTATGGTTCTGTGCGCTGTCCAAAAACAAAAGCTGTGGTTAGCAATATATGAGTCGAAGTGCTAGGGTGAGTACACGATGTGAGTTCTGGGTAGGCTACTAGCCAAGCAGATTTGATAAACAAAATACCGTTATCAAGAATAGTAAATGTGCATATTTTCCTAAGCCGGATGAGAATTTTGTAGTATTGAATTTACATTTCTATCTACATTATTTCTGTTGACATTTCTATCTTTACGAAAGTTGTTATTTCGTTTAGAGAATCTAGAAGGTGTTTTTGATCTGCTATTCCTATTAGGAAAAGGTGAACGATTATGGAGAAAAAGGTGAACGACTTCGGGATTTACTGTTGGAATTGTCGCGCAAATAAGGTGTAAATAAACATTCCTTGTGTAGGGAATGAAAGGTTTCGTTCAATTGTTTATACAAAGAAGTCAATTTAGTTAGTTAGTTTTTAAATGAGCAGTTATTGCTAGGAACGAAAAAAAATTTTTGAATTTTTTTTTGAGTAAAACAGGTTGTTAGTTAGTTGTTAAAGTAGGTTGTTAGTTTGTATGTTAAGACTAAGATGATTTTACCAATAGTATGAATAAATATCACTTAGATCGTACTCTTATATGAAGTTGGAAGTTGATATTAGATTAGATTAGGTTGAGCGATTTGGTTGAGAGAGTGGTCGTCGGCGAAGAGATTGCACAGAGAAAAGGCAAAGAGCCACCAAGTAGTGGATGTGGGTACTGGATTGTCAAAGGTAAGGTTTATATAGGTATTCAAAAGTTGTAGTATGTGTGGGAATTGGTGTAGTGTTACAAATATTCCGAGAAACTGGTAAATATTTTGACGGAAAAAATTGGTCTTCACTCTTCCCAATGGTTTTGTTCACGAGTTTGGTTCCTGTATTACACAGTATTAGGATGGAGAATCTATTCTTAGATGTGATATTGTAATAGGTGAGGTTTGGATTTATTGCAAAAGAAATGCATGATTTCGTGTTTACCACTTGGCCACCTCTGATCCGTGGAACATGGCAAACGAGGAGACAGCAGATGGAGAAATTATGATGAGATATACTGATCTTTGACTTTGGAATACTGCCAAATTTCATAACGAGAAACCGAAACATGTTTTCGTAGAGGGGTTACACCAAGAGGAAAGCTACATTGTTTGAAATATATATATTATTGTTACAAATGTTCTCCTTCCAAAACGATGTGTATTCCGTTGGTTTTCTTATAGACTTTCATGGAATTTGTTGAGAAAGGCTGGATAAAGCAAATTTTTTTCTAAAGTGTAGTAGGGTGAAGTCTTTTTATTATCCGAATGAGCCTCCTGGGAGGGGGAGGAGGATTTTGCAGAAAAAAAAACGTGGTAGTTGAAAAAAAAATTCTTCAAACTCGTTTGGTTATTGCAGAGCTTTCGAGAAATGCTGAGTTTGTGAAATTTATCGCTAGAGATTCATGTAGAGATTTTTTTAGTCACAGCTAAATTTAATATTGTATTTGCCCCAACCCGCTTGTTAGGGACCCGTAGGGTCGTTAGTCGGTATAAAATATTATCTGAAATTTATAAAATAGTGCCAAAGTGGTCGTCCATTTGCTCTCTAGTTTCTTTGTTTATTTGAGATAGGCGAAAAAAGAAGGGGTACAATCATCAATCTCAATTGTATAGTCATTAGTCGTGAGCGTTCCATGAGTTTTCTCGCCTACAGCCAATTGAGTGAGTAGTTGCGGCTGGTGATGCGCTAGGATATTTTTATCTTGGCAGCCATTTGTTCGCGACTTATTAATTGCAGGTGAGATGCCTCCGCGAAAATTTTTTTTTTGGGCTCGGCCATTTGTTCGCGCTTGATTAATCGCGGACTATAGCGTTTCGAGCAAAATCTTTCGTGCGACCACCTGTGAGTTTTCGTCATCCACGAGATAATTTATTGCTAGTTGAGGTTTGTTGAGGTTGCGCTGCCGGGTAGATGCAAAGATCTATTCACCAAAACAATGCGCCGTGAATCGGGCGTAGCTGATAAATGTCAGCGCCTTCACGTGCTATATTTTCGTATAGCCAATCTCAGATTTTGTATGATCATACTTTACCGGTTTTCGCGAGCGAGTCCTTTTGAATTTCATGATGATTATCTGCATTTTAGGGGATAAATCCCGATATGTTAGCTATAATCTTAATTAATATACCCTCATTTTTTATGCAAAAATAATAATTAATATTCAATACTTTTTCCTCTTAATTTGATTACGTAAGTCACGGATCACGGTGAATTTGTAAGCAAATCTACTGTGAACTGCGCTAAAAAAATAAGTTATGAACTGCGCTCAATTATAAATCAGCACGGAATTTTTTTTTTCGAAAATATCCGCGCTTTACATGCATGAAATATGTAGATTATTGACCTAAGGTACCCGCCCGCAGGACTTTATGAAGGCAATTCTCAGACTGCACTAGGTTAATGGTTAAAACACACCATTGTCGGTTAGTGGTAAAAGAAAATTACTTACGTGTCGTTCGAATCCCGATCCTGGACGGCCGTTCAAGGAAGCGGAATATAAGACGAGGTGGAAGGGGGGGGGGGGACATGGTGGAGGGGAACGTTTTATTGCGATAATCAAAAGGAGGTGAGTTTTCAAAAAAAATGGTCTAAGATTGAGAAACTTGAAAAAATCTCTCCGGGACTTCCATGTCAGGTACAAGGGGTAGCTAGACCCTTGCCTGAGGGTGTAGCGGTGTTACGGTGTATTTGACATAAGATCAGACTATCTAAGGTTTATTATACAAAGAGATATATACATGAAAGATGAAGGGAAGAGGGGAGGGGGACTGGGAGCTAATAGCCAGTCATTCATGTTGTAACTCTCCACTCTTTTTATACCTACTCCGCATTACAACGTTGCTGTAATATCCGAGGTACAGAGAGGTACTGATAAACAAGATCCAGTAAACAACGATTGCATGATCCTGATGCAATGTTACATCGGCATGATGAATCATATCCTGACATGGCACTTAGATTTTTATAAACTAATAAACAGTTACTACTGATCCTGTTTCGTCTCTACTCTTCCCCCAGATGTCGGCAAAAAACTGCGGGAAGAGGGATATTGACCATCAAACAATGCATACATTTGAGACACCCCTTAGTAATATGTAGGCAACACCAAAAGGGAGATCATAGAAGTTGAAAACAAGCCTCGTTTTCCCAAACAAGCGCATAACGTAGATAACGAGAGGAAGTCTGGAATGCTTTCAAAATGGCGGTCACCACAGGCCCTTGCATCCCAAGATCATAAAATCCAAATCGAGTATATGTGCATGAAGCAGTATCTACACATATTCACAGTTTTGTCTTTTTTCGAACTGAGAGCTGTATGAGAAAATCTACTGCAAGGAAAGAAAACGCCGAATCTGAACTAGTTTCGCGCCGCGCGTGAGCAAACTCTCTGTCGATCAACAATGTTCCGCTCCAAACCGATTAGTTTATTGCATGTCCAAGCGATTCAAGTACTGCGTAGGACCAATGCCATATTGTGTGATAAAAATTAGATTAGATCATTTTCAACAAAGGCAGTAAGAAAAAGTTCAAAAGCAGCATGTATTCACCTGTAAGACTCGATGAGTGTTCTCGTTTATCTTCTTTTTTCAGTTCCGCCGGTGGAGGTCGTATCGGTACGATTTTGGCAGGTGGAGTAGTGGTAGTAGTAGAAGACATTTTCTGTGTATATCCCTAAAATCGACGCGGTTACAAACGGATACCACAAGCAAGTGCATGCAAAAGAAATTGAAAGAAAGCATCTAACATGCAATAAATCTAAAGCAATAGTAAAACGAAGCATGCAAACACACTCATCATAAACGTATTTCGACGCACCACAGGATGAGATGTGGGTGGAGAAGTTGTAGTGGGTGTTGTAGCAGTGAATAATGCACTGCTAAATGGACTGTTTTCCACAACCTCACTAGAGGCTGATTGAGAGGCACTCTCAATAAGATTATCCGATGACTAAATGGAAACATTCGTAAAAGAAACTGGAAGACATTTGAACATCACAAACCCCTTTCTTCTTGATGAGCAGCATACTAACTGGCCGCTTCCCTGGCGGGCGAACTCGATTCTTGGTCACATGGCTTAGTGGCCTAGCAACATCTTCAGATGCTTCTTCCGTTTCGATATTGCTGACGGGCCTTGCTGTGGCAACGGATTCGGAGCCAGAGGTGACTACTACAGACTTGGTCAATTTTGAAGCAACTTGTCCCGGTTGCCCAACAATTAGGTCCTGAAAACCAGATTATATCTCTCTTCACAAAAAAAAACTAGCAATTTCTCTCCTTACCTTGGATATTCGGTCTCGAGCAGCAGCAAATGCGGAATTTTGTTGCTTTACCTGAGATGGCAAGACGGGCGCTGAGCTAGCGACACTACTAGAAGAAGGAGGAGACGACCCAGCTCCGTTAATTGAGGTGGAGCTTTCAGACATTTTTTGTTTCAAAGGTTTCGCTGGGACTGCCGGAGGTACGATTGAGGCAGGGCTCGCTGCAGGCGCTTTTCCTATTACTTTGGGGTGATGAGTGGGCTGATGGTAGATCGTGCCGGAACGAGTGTTGACGGGCACCTAAAGTTAAACGCTGCATTATAAATACATGCAGTACTTGCATATCAAGCCAAATTAGTAAGGAATACTCATAGGAGATCAAAAAAAATTGCGACAAATTATAGGGAGACGTATTGAAGGATGCAAAATTAGAAAAAACCCTGAAAAAAATTGAAAATGGACCGAAAGTGCTATGAAATTGTCTAAATTAAGAATCGCTTCAGTCAAAGCCTTGTAGTGGGTAAGGCTACTTATGATAAAAAAGACGCCACTGTGTCAACATGGTAATACAATCAGCAAATACCAAAAAGCATCTTTCCGTACACTCTGAAAATCACCTGGACAAGCTCCACAAAGTTATCAGGAAACAGGCCACGACGTCCATTGATTTCGCCCTCGAACCAACCAGCATCACCGCAATCTTTTCGAATAATAGTGATAAGCTGTCCAATTTCTCCAAGCCGAAGTTCATCACTATGTTGAGGTTCATATTCAAATTTCACTCTGGCCATTTCTGGAAGAAATGCATCTAAACGGTAAATAATGAGGAAAGCGAAGCTTTAAAAATGAAAACACTTTTTGCACAAACATCTGAATCACTATAATCACATTATTTTATAATTAAAAAGTCAATTACCTTTTGTTTTCGGTTCCTCTTTTGTTTCGGCATGCAAAGCTTTGTTGAGGAAACTATTTCCACCAACAACAGATGGAGTTCGTCGATTTGCTTCTGGCAAGTCAGGTAAATCACCGGCATGTCTAATCACCACTCCCTTGTCTTCTTCTCGATTCGTTGTAGTTGTTGGAGCAACTAGAAAACGTATGGAAGCGGATGCCGTAAAGCAAAAGAAGATTTGAGCCTGTGTACCATCTGGCTTCACGAAATTAGTGGGAAACATCCCAACAAGTCCAGTTCTCAACTGCCGCCCACGGCTCCAGCCATCCTCTACCTCCTCCAAAACCTAAGCAAATATTTACTGAGTGGGAAGGAAACTTGAATCAGAGAGAATCAGGAGAAATACCTCGATTATATCGCCTAATTCAAGAGTCAATTCATCATCCTGTACAGCTCTATAAGCAAATGTCGTGATCACATGTTGCACAGGGCTCGACTTCGGCATTACGGCTAACATAAGAACAATAAAAACTTTCGAACACAACGGAACAAACGGCAACTAACTTTTTCGAGGTTCATGAATAGACAGGGGCGGCCGAGCAGATGAAAAGTCTTTTGACAATCGATCAACAAGACTTTTGACGTTGCCAACCATGATATCACCCTAAAAAGAGACACTTTTATTGTTATCTAAAGATGGAAACACGCTTATTGAATAAAGACGTTCTGATACTATGGAAACCTCAAGATTATAAGCATACCTGAGCTGCAGACATAGTTAAGGGTTATTTCATCGACACCACCACACTTCCTAAACTGAGCGTTTTGAATACCCAAAAAGAATAAGCGAAGATAGCGATAATGACGGTAATCAATAAGTTCACAAAATATATTCGGCTCGAAGAAATCTTGCGCAATAAACATTTTCAAAGAAAGGGAGTAAAGCACATGACAGAAATGGCAATGTAATTGTCGATTTCCCACAAGACCGGTTTTAAACCATGATAATGAGTTACCATAATGCGCAGAGACAACAATATAGACCGAGAATTATTTCGAAATATAAAAGCCCGATTGGACAGCGAAGTCACAACCTATCTATATCGACCAACGTTTCACATTGCTCTTTTTTCAAAATGTCAACAATCCGTCTATTCTCACTTCGCCGGCGTTTTGCCTGTTGCACGGACATAAGAGCTCACCCTTTAAGTTTCGAATGAAGTATGTAAACAGACATTTTTTGCTGTATGATTCAGCAAAAGAGGATATACAGAACTCTTTTACAGTAACGCGAAGGGTTGAAAGCAGAGACTGTGGTAAGCCGGCAGTGAGACCATGAAAACTCCACCCTTATAGTGAGAGAGCTCTGCCCCCAATCACCAGGATAAAATTGAGAACACGCTCTTTTCGACACTATAACAGGAAGCAACTGACGAATCACTGTCTCAAGCATTGAAACAAGTAGCAGATTCTTTCGTTGGCTTCCATAATTTACGTCAGTTGTGAATGAATTTTGTAGCAAAACTGAAAAGAGTAACTTTATGAAGTTGAATTAATAATTACCCTAAAAATGGACTTGACTTATGACTTCTTAGATTTTGACCTAAGGTTTCTAAGCACTTGATGAAAAAAATTTACTATGCTTTTGCCGATTGTTAATGCACATGGTACCGCTCACAGAGATGGATACGCACATCTTAAAATTTTGCCCATCCACTTTCCACGGGTACATGTTGTCGGCACAACAGAGGCACTATTTCTTCGTGGAACCCACTACGCTTCACGAATTTTATGGAAGAAATTGGAACACGGATAATCGAAACCGTGAGAAACTGACTCAACGCTTGGAAGCGGATGCTCTTGCATTGAGAGGGTCAAAGCTATGTTCAGCAATTAAAAATCTTTTCCCTTTCATCGATGAGCTACTCCCCGAAAAACCTTATTAGCGACTGTCGTCTCCCGACAGATAATCGCCTCTGACAGGTGCACTGATAATGGTGCAGGCACTAAGTTTTTGACGGAGCCACTGCCAGATCAATAGGGATTTGAAAGAGGAAAAAGCTGTCGTTGCCATAATGACGTGTGTTTCTTTATTAATACTACTATTTTTAATTAAAGCTGTCAGCGTAAGAGAGTTTCGTAGCTGGGATATGTAAAGCGAATAGTCAATCACTAATAGAACTTCAAAAGACCAAACCAAAAAAATTCGATTGCATGATCTAGAGAAGGCAAACACACGGAATGACAAGCAACATTGACAGACACATTTGAAGAAGGCGAGCCGATGCAAATGAATTCATACAGTATTTGAGAAGCACTTATAATCCTGCAAGTGCGATAAAGGACAGTGAAAGGCATACAGAAGGAAGAAAATTCTAATAATTGAAAATTCGCTTTACAGGTAAAAAACATATATCCAACAAAAAATTCGGCAGTTTATGAAATGCAAAAAAATGCTCGAAAACAGATATATTTAGTTCCATATCAAGAACAATGACATAAATTTGAAGTAAAATTCCAACCCACTGTGCAAATGCACAATTTCAAACTCAGATACAACAATTTTTTAGATCAAACAAACTACTTTGATTGACTACGCTTGAGGTATTTTCACGATACCTCAAGCAAATCGAAGCAAGGGGGGGGGAGAGATAATGGGTAACGCGAGTTGAAAGTGGCCTGCATAAATTACAAATTATTCAACTAAGTTGTTCTCGATAGTGAATAATGAATGATTTGATAAACTCAATGAAAACCAGACTGTTTATTCAGATCTTCTTCCATTATTTCTACGAAAACATGCACCGTAAAAGGAAGGTAACAAAAAAGATAAAGTTAGCGAAAACAGATAATGATAACAGGCCACAAGTTATGCAATTCAGTTTTTGAGCCACGACAGAACTGTAAATCTGTCCTTCACTATGATGGAAGCAAACATAAGTTATACTAGTGAAATTAGTTTTGATGATCGCACATACACATATTGAGAAATTTTCGTAGTATGCAAGGGAATTTTATTGGAAGACGCGTAGACACGGTTTCCATCATCGGAAAACCGCACAATTGCTGATGTCAATCGGTCTGATATGGACCATGATAAAGAAACCTGCTTAGCACTATCAGAAAAAGCCAAGAAGATGACAGCATGATGTCAACTGTGTCAAGAACTATATGAAAAACGATGTAGATGATAAATAGACAGAGGAGCTGCGATAGTGAAGCAGATAATGACTACGAAGTCCAGGCAGTTGAGACTGATTGATCCTGTCGATCTTCCAAAGTCACCGCTATGACCCCCTATAAATTCTCCAAACTACTTTCGATTTCGTATTCACTGACACCAGTTGCCCCTTTAGAAACAGGTGCTCAAGAAATCTGCACACGTGTGTCACATCCCATGAAGTCAGCACTTTGGTCTTTCACTTTTTTAGACGCATTTCCATTCAAGCGAGGGAATAATGCCCGCATTCTGTTACGTCAAACAAACGAAAAATGTCCGCGGAGCGAGAGAGATATATGACGGCAATCATACATGAGCGGAAATGCCGATCCCATATGTACACGATAATAAGCATTCCGCCATAGTCATTCTTCACTTTTATAGTTATTATAGCACTACGGCGCAGGCAAATTTCGCTAGTAGTTGCGTCAAGACATAACAACGCAGCAAAAAAATTACCGGACAGATGTGAATATCCAAGTTACTCAAACTCAAAGATCACACCAAAAAACATGCATAGTGTAAAATCAAGATTAAGAACGCGAGAACGCGCAAATTAATCTAAATTGAAGAAAGCGTAAAGAAAATTCCGTTTCCTAGCCGATCGATGAATGCTACGAATTGCGTGTAACACTCTCCAAACAGGGCCATACAATGCAAACATGGGTAGAAACGACGACCATACAACGTATGATATTAGTGAACATTTCAAGCGTCGATCAAACCCTAGAACAGACACACGTGATGTTATTAATTACTGCGGTTTGACTGCATTAATCAAACTAGTTGAAGAAGAAAAAGTTCGACCTGATAATATGAATATCGAAAATTCAGTTAGGACATGCTGATCTGAATTTGCAGGCGCATATTCTAATAGACTGCAATTACAAAGCCATTATAACGCTGGATGAACTGATAAAGCAAAAAATATAATATCAGCTCTATATAAAATGAACGACAGCAGTAGAAACACAACGGAAGCAATGATTAATTCCACTATCAAACAAAACACTAAAAAATGTGACAGCAACTTCAAAAATAAAAAGCAAAGATAAATTCAAAACGGAAGCTTTCAGTCATACTACCACACGATATCGATAGCCTATCTCAAAATGGAACCCTAAAATTGTACTGGTTAAGGCAAACAGGCTAAATGATCTACATATTAGTGCGGCTTTACAAACATTACATAACTGATAACATTTTGGATCTAAATATCCAACTTATACCTTCGATAAACTACGGCAAAACCTCTGTTTTGCATTTCTCAAAGGCGAAAATATGCTATCAAACATTTTTGATAAGGTTGTTGATGCCACAGCGATATCAGATTTCATATTTAGCCACAGAGCCCGAAATACTCGATTTAGATAACCAAAGCAAAAAAACTGAAGACGTTATGAATAGCAAATGATAAATATTCGTTATTCGCACAATTTACATGCTGTAAAGCACTGCCAAGCCTGAATCAAGAATGATTTTCTAATTTTATCCTATTCATAAACAAGCACTTTGAAAGCACAGACTCCAATAGAATACATAATTACGCATATATTATGTTTTATTTTCAACATGCACTTCAAAAGCTAAAGAAAGAAGAACTAACCAAACACGAAAACATGGCGTTCGAGGAGATATATGTGGAAACTTACTTGAAATGAAGAAATTTGAAACGAAAAATTACTGGCAAAAAGATCAGGTGACCCGCTCAATGCGAACTCTATTGATAATCAGCCGCCAAACTGGATTAGGTGCAACTGCCAGACAGATGGGTTTGACACCTCGCTCAAAAAGACTTCTGAAGCAAAATGTGAAAGCAACAGAAGGGAGAATGACCGGAAGAGTGGCGAGAGGGCGCGGTCCCGGGCGAGCGCGATGACTCAGCTCCCCCATGCTTCGCCTATCGATCATTCGGTAACTCCACCAACCACCAACGCCACCACAGCGAGACCACCAACCAGGCACCCACTCACCAGAATTTGAAATGTTTAAAATGATGCTGGGAAAGGAGACGACCCATCGCACTACTCACTTATCCCTCATGCTTGCTGCTAATACCCGTAAAGCGAACCTAATTTCACATCAAGTGAGAGAAAGACATTTCAAAAACGAGAAAATTCTCACTGAACTACAAAAAATTGCAAGGAATTGAGCGATCAAAAACATAACGAGTTCTTCGAGCGCTAAACTTGCAATGTTTTCTCACAGATATTGGGAACGCGTCAAGTACGGGGTGCTTCATAGAAGAATGACTCATGCAAACTTTCGAGAAATGTGCTCTCAGAATTCGAGATCGATATTTGCTTGGATATCCATACATCGGCGGAATGAGAGTAGCTTAGGGCAATTTTAATCGGCTTTACACGGCTGTCGGGAACGCCATCGACATCAACTCTAATCAACCTACGCCGTAAGATTGTCAAACGTGAGCATCACTGTGCGGAAATT